TTCATCCCAATTATGATTATTATGAAAATTGAATGTACCATCCCTGGTAAAACTAGCTTACTAGAGTTTGCTCTGTTTATAAAATTCATTATAAAATTCATAAACGAAAACAAATAAGACATATCTATATAACTTTTATTCATTATTTTTAGGCGTACAATTAGCTCCCGAAGTGGGTCCCACAAATTACGAAACACCCTGTATATACGGGCATCGCGATATACTTGCGGCGAATGAACATTTATCAAAAAGCTGTGGGCGCGACATCTTCGTCGTTTTGCAACAGGAAAACCGATGTTCAAACGCGCTGCAAAGATTCATAGCTGCTAGATCCGGGGAACGAAGAAATTTAACTCGTTAAATGGAACTTTGATGTTGTATTTGCGTGTAGGCGCCTTGCCTCTAATTTGAATTACCCGATCATTCTCGCGAAGAAACTGATTGACAGAAAGAAATGATTTTTCAGTGGAGCGAGTTTATAAAAATTTTTTTCTGGACTCGAAGTTCATCAAAATTGAACAGTTTATTATTGTACTTCGGTAATACTTAAAATTTTCTCAGAAAAGCACACGAATTGTAATTGATTACGATCTCTCATTTTAATCGAGGAACTGAGAAAGTTCGTCTCGTAAAATTAATTAATAAAATTTAGATAATCGCGCGATATCTAAATTACACGATAGTATAAAAAAAGATTAATGACAGAGATTAAAGACTCGTCGTGTAGGAACCACTATGACTTTGTGAAAAATTGGAAAATGCACGTGCAACGTGGGGAAAAAATTTAAAACACAAAACTTCTTTTAATACCTAACGAATAAAAATAATTTCCCACGTAAATGCTCGATTTTTTAATTACCTTCGTAAAAATAAATATCCGCAGTCTAGCGATTAACATTATCGATCCACTTAATTACCCTTTGAAAACAAAGACATTAAAATGATAAAAAAGGAAACTACACCGTCCCATAATGATCGAGTTTCACAATGAAAGAATTTCCAACCGAAAGTCACTAGTTACGATCACCAGCCATTTACCATGTATTCTCTGATCCTCCATTCTTCCGACTTTCCCTTTCTCTTCTGTCTATTTCTTTTCCGTTTTCACGTCTCGTTCGTTTCTCTTCCATCGTAGAACGAGACAGAAAATAAAAAAGGTAAAGAAAAAAAAGAAAGAACGTAGAAAGAGAAAGATATCAGAAATGAAAAAAAAAAAAAAAACCGCGAGTGTACACGTGGTGAGTAGGAAGAAACGATTCTGTTACGTGTCTTCGAACGCGTTGCACAGTATGCACCAGTGGTTTCCAATGCGATGGGACCAGATGCATTCCGGTTGACTGGCGATGCGACGGCCACTTGGACTGCGCGGATCATAGCGACGAGAACGAGTGCGGGGAGTGCACCGTCTCCTCCTCCTCTTCCTCGTCCAGTTCCATCAACAGCACGAAGATCATGAAGAAACCGATTCTGGCGATGAACACCATCTCAAAGTCGGCCTTGCACTGCGGCCAGAGAAGATGTATGTCGGCCAGCCACATCTGCAACGGGGAGATGGACTGTCCTTGGGGCCAGGACGAACGATACTGTTGTAAGTGGAGAGAATCTTGGTTGTAAATTAGGGTCGATCCTTTGTACGGAGTACGAAAGAAAAAAAGAAAATTACTAGCGAATTAGCGAATTTTTACTAAGAAAACTTTAGTTATAGTACAGTTTTGTTGGAAACTATAATGTCAAGCGAATCATGGGTGATTGATCGAGTTCCTCGTCAAATGTTTAGTCTTCTGTTTGTAATTTTCTTGAAAATGAATAATAGAACGAGTAATACGATTCAGCAGATTCGATACCTTTGGGTTATTGCGGAACAAAATTCGAATCATCGTGCGATTAACATCTTTAATTGATCATTAACGAGACTTTCCTCTGTTGTAACTGTTTTTTTTTTTTTTTTTTTTCTTAAAGTAGAAAATCTTTCTAGAGTGTTTTCTAGATTTAAGCTTTAAACTGACACATCTGTTCAGACAGTGAATGATCTTTCAAATACTCTGACAGTGAGACTGAGTCAAAGAAACGGCGACGTGGGCGAAGGGAGATTGGAAGTGTACCATGCAGAGATGGGCAAATTCATGCCAGCCTGTATCCCTTACTGGGACTCGAGTTCCGCTAAAACCATCTGCTCCATGCTCGGATACACGTAAGAGCATCCCCAATTAAAATGTCCATCAAATGTTGTCACGAAAACGACAAAAAGAAGCAAATGTCTGGTGAACGAAATCGTTTCAGGGTGTCAATTTCATCCAGGTTGATGGCACAAGGCATGAACCTCACTCAAAGGGAACCTAAGTCTCGTCATACGAACCTTCTGAAGGAATTTCAAGAATGTATCACGGATCAAGAAGCCTATCCGACTGCTGAGTTAACTTGTTCAGAATACGGTACATCCTCCATACATTTATACTACGAAAAAAATTACTTGTGCCGTGATTTTTCGTATTTAAAATTCAAACTTGATATTTCGATGTCTTGAAACAACTTTTCAAAATGTTCTTATATTTCCTTCAAATTCCGTTTCCTCTGTCAGTCATAAAAAAATACAAAACACTTCGACAGAAATCCGCTAATTCGTTAATTGTCGCGAATTCGCAACACTTTGTTCAGCCTGCGGAAGGAGGAACACGGTTTATGGAAACATGAAGGCTAAAACGAGAATCGTGGGTGGCGTGGAGTCAGCTCCTGGTGATTGGCCATTTTTGGCGGCCCTTCTCGGAGGACCTGAACAGATTTTTTACTGCGCCGGAGTCCTGATTGCCGATCAATGGGTTCTCACCGCGTCTCACTGCGTGGGCAAGTAAGTTCTCCTGCCGAAGAAGAAGAAAAAAAAAAAAAATCTCAAATTCGAGAGGAACGATCTTGTAAAATGATTTTATACTTCCAGTTACTCTGACGTTACCGGGTGGACGATACAACTGGGAATTACTAGAAGACACTCGCACACTTATCTTGGTCAGAAGCTGAAGGTGAAAAGAGTGATGCCACATCCGGAGTACAATGTAGGAGTCGCTCATGATAACGACGTGGCACTTTTTCAGGTATTATAAATATCTCAGGAATGAATTTCTGTCCGTTTATACACTGTCTACGTATCACATTTCCTTGGAATGATAAATTTATCATATGTATACCGTTGTGATTTGGCATTGGGTTTTATTTTATGAAACACAGATATATTCGGTTTTTCAAGATTTTTCGTAGCTCATAGCTAGAGCAATCACTTTCCTCTGAGATCTATACGATACAACTTCTTTCAACCGTATTTTCAGACCCTTCTCCCAATGCGGTCCACACAGACACACACACACACACACACACACATAAGGCAAGCAGCTCAACACTAATACGACAGATGTCGCGCATCCATCCACACGTGTACACGCTATACGTGATTTATAGTTATTCCTAACATATGCTAACGAACTTGTCGAACTTACTTCTCAATTCATTAACTCGTATCTCTCGAGTATCTGTAAGAAATGAGAGTCGCCTGTTGTTTATTTTCAGCTGGAGAAACGAGTTCAGTTTCACGATCATCTAAGGCCAGTCTGTCTACCAACAGCTGACACTGATCTAACGCCCGGAACACTGTGCACCGTGATTGGCTGGGGAAAGAAAAACGACACCGACAGTACGTTCTAGTATCAAGCATCTATGATTGTTCGAATCGTAAACGAGAATTTTGAGCGAGATTAATTTCCGCGTAGCTTCCGAATACGAGCTAGCCGTGAACGAAGTTCAAGTCCCAGTGTTGAAGAGAGAAACCTGCAATCTCTGGATCACGGTCAAAGAGTATAACGTCACTGACGGAATGATATGCGCTGGATATCCAAACGGAGGCAAAGACGCGTGCCAGGTAAGTCTGAAAGTTTCGAAGGACGAAAAAAAAAAAAAAAAAAAAAAAGAAAACTCATTTCGCAAATCTCTCTTGGTGAGTTTCAGTCGCCAAGACCAGTTTTTCCAGAGTTTTCAACGAATTTTCTCCTTTTATAATCGACAGGGCGATTCTGGCGGGCCCCTGCTGTGCCAGGACAAGCACGACAAGGAGAAATGGTTTGTCGGTGGAATAGTAAGTTGGGGTATCACGTGCGCATACCCGAAACTACCGGGCGTGTACGCTTACGTGCCCAAGTACGTGCCCTGGATTCGCAACGAGATGGCCAAATACTCGGACATAGGTATGGGTTAGGTTATACGAAATATGAAAATTCACGAGGACTCGCGTCGACAGAACGAGTCATCCATCGAAGAAGCATTCAGGTATTTAGTTGTAGCAACAATAATTATTCGTACGACAATAAACCGAAAATAGTCGAGAAACTGTAGAGGAACCGAAGAACTTTGCTAGATACCAACAAACATGTATATGTTCAATAATATGGATATAATCGATAATAATCAATAAGCGATTTTGCATTGATCCATTAGTTGATTGGAGGTTCCACTTTGTTACGAAGGCAAAAACATAATCGTGCCGATACAAACGTCACTTTTGAATAGTGTAATTTCGAAATATACTGACGATTCTTTCTCTGTAAAGACAATACGACAGACACTTAAAGTCTGAAGTCTTCGTATTCTCTCATCTTTTTGGGCGAGTATTTTCACTGTCGATTATTAACTTTCTTTCTAAACGACAATAAATCTGACAATACTAAACACGATCGAGCGCAACTAGTTAATCCATTCGCATCACGAAGCAGTGAATAATTGAGGATTTCACATTTGTTGGTTATATATTCTGATTTGTTACTCAATTCCCGACAATTTCCGATCTTTTTGATATTTTAGATCACTGTTTGTCACGGTAGGATACTCGAGTCACGACAAATTATAAATTCTCACATCGAGTAATTTAAGTCACGGTGCAAATGGGTTAAAATTCGAATCGAGCGAGGAAATTGGTCGACGTAGATCATACAGCATTTCCGTATATCTTTCCCAACGTCTCTAACGACAGTAATCCTTTAACGATATAAAAGTTATCGAGACTTTTGCAAATTCCATTTCCATTTCCATGCAGAGAGCAAAAATTATAATCTCGTTCTGCGTTGATCAATTTCTAGATGCTTCAAAGTTTACACTTTACACGATAAGATACTTAGGTAAGAATGCAAAAAAGCAAAGGTGAAATAAGCGGAAACATACTAAAAAGGAGGGAAAGCTCCAGACAACGAGCTCTCGTCGCTATTTTCTAGGAAGTGAACGTTAGCTTCTACTCTTAAAAAGAAGAAGAAGAAGAAGAAAAAAAGAAGAACAAAGTCGTGGCAAGTCGAACGAAACAAAATCTTTCAGAGACAAAAAGGAACGCGACGAAAATGTTCGCATCAGATGCGAACGGAATGCTAGAGAAATAAATAAATAAATAAATTTAAGAAAAAAAAAAGAAAAAAATAAAATTTTCTATTGCCATCGGTTTTTTTGATGAGCATACGTGCCACCAAGTGGCCGATCATTCCAGAGGGTGTGCGTTTCATCAAATTTCAGAAACTTGAGAAAGATTGAGAAACGAACGAGATATCGTGATCTCTTTGTAGGAATGACAAAAGAGGCATCGAAACTGAGAATCGTGGTTATTCTGCTTTAAGAAAAAAAAAAAAAAAAAAAAAACCAGCTACGGATAATTTTTGTACGAGTTTTACGAACACACGCCCGACATGTAGATGAAATTTTGTGCACACACTGTATCAGATGCATTTGTGCGCTGGTTAATAAAAACATTTCGTACTATTAATTAATTATAAAAAGATTAACATAGATAACGTATTATCCATATGGTTAGCGTAAGGTGTATGTTTGTTAACGTAGATGTAAATTATAATACGTACACACACACATATATATATATACATATACGTGTTTAGCGTTGCGTGTATTAATTGTATACTAATGTAAAGTACACGTTAATGTAATGTAAGTAGACAGAGAAACATAAATACGTATGTGAAGGTAGAACACGTGAGCTTATAGAATATCGGAGCTGAGTTTCATTCGATTTTCCAGTGATTTACTGATATCGCAAAATTTATATTTTGTATTTTTCTTAATCATCGAGAAACTGAAGTAGCATGAAGCATTTCTTCATTCTTCAACAGAGAGGTTCATTATTTAAAATTTCAAAAATCTAGTGTCCACCACGTGTATAATATATATATATAATTTTCAATGAAATTTTCTCAGCTCCCACCGTGTCGAGCTCACGAGATATACGTACTAACATATAACAAATTTCTGTCTCGTGCTTCGAACGAATCTACTCTTATTCGTAACCGAGGCACGAGTGAAAATATTTAAATGCGCGAGTAACGAAACGCAGCTTGTAGCAATTTGTTAGAGCACTTGGAGCTTAGATTAACGTTTAGATTAACACATGTTGACTGAATTCTAGGGACAATACTCTGCACCAGCACCTTTTTGATCCGCACCCAGATGAGACGAAGATTTAACAAAAAAAAAAAAAAGAAAAAAAAACAGAAAAAAAGAAAAAAAAAGAAAGAAAACGAAAAAGAAAAAGAAGTGAACATAGTTTTTAAAAGAAACGAGTATACTTTGTACTTGATATGGTATATTGTTTACGAGAAGAGGAAAACTAGGAGCCTTACTAATTGACTTAGACTTTTTCTAAGCGATAAGAATAGCGGTATTGTTGGTCAGGACAATAAGTCGATCTCGTTTCTCCGTGACGCCATTTTTCTTAACCGTGTCTTTTTCTCTCCGATCGAGAATACATACGTTTTTTACCAGTTCCGAACCCGAAAGCCCTTGTTTTTTACGTGAATTTTTTCGTAGGTAAGTGGATCCGTATACTTCTATAGAGGTTTTTCAGTTTCCACGTAAGAAACAACCTTTATTACTAGGTAGAAAAAGAAAAAAAAGAAAAAAAAAAAAGAAAAATGACGCTTCGACGTTTTCCGCCCCCTCAACCCTCTTCACCCATCGTTCCCGGAAGTAACGACGCTTGCTCTCGCTTCGTGATCATTCGAACTGATTTTGTTTCCACATCGGACGAGACGCTTAATTTTTGACAAATCCCTAAGACGCGTTTAGAGGATAAAAGTCTTCCTTAGTATCCAGACAACAGGTAGTTGTAAGCGAACGAGTAATGTAAAATTTAATAATAACCGACAATACTGTGTGAGCAGACAATAAATAATATTAGGAAATGTTCCAATAACGGACAATAAAATTAGCACGTAAGACCGTTAGAGTATAATTTAATTCGGTAAGAATATGCATGTGATCGTTGCAACAATTCTCTCTCGTCTACCGTGTGTAAAATGATATACGTAAGATGATAATTTAAGGAACGGTCGATCTTAATTCTCAATCTACTCTATAATTTTCCAAACGATTTTCTCTTCGAAAATTCTGTTTTCCAGTACAGAAGGTCTGTCGAAGTCCTTTCGATTTTCAAATATAGTTCGATCTTCTCCGAGTAAAAGTATGTTTCATTAAAAAGAGGTCGATCATTGTTCCACCGAAAGGAAACTAGCGTAAGGTGATGAATAATTCAAGGGACAACTGTACGAAATTGTACTCTTCGTTGCTCTAATTTCCCGACGTTCTTCGAAAATTCATTTCACTTCTCTACTTCTCCGAGTAATGCAGTTCGATCTTTTTTCTTAACTAGACTAGCGAAAACAAATCGCTGTAGACATAAATCCCGCATAAGGCAGAGGAACTTTCAAAGCAGGCTTCTGCCTGTTTACTTTCTCCATTTTCCATTTGGCTTTCGTTGGTTCATATCGCTCGAAAAACATAAATTAAAAGAGAATACGTAGCGGATAAAAAAGAGAGGTTAAAAAGGACAATCAGGAGCGTGACTACGTTTTCTCGACGAGGATATTTTTTCTAAAACGGATGGAACGTCGCTTAATTTCGCGTGGTAATTCAAATCACTCGCACATACGACAATTTATAGAAAGAACCGATTTATTTCGCATTAGTTTAAGAAGCAGCCTTTCAAGTTTTCTCTTTTCTCCTTAATCACACCTCCCTCTAATGGTAGATTTCAACTAATGTGATGAGCTAGCGGTTTGTACACGAAATCGATATTTACACGTATAAGACGATATAATCGCGACTATATAGAATACATACATATATACATACATGTATAACTGATACGTAAAATAAGCAGCTGTTGTTAAGAAAACTTACAAATCTATTTTACAGAAAAGATATTGCTCGATTTAGTTGTTCGGCGCCAAAAGGGGGGGAAAAAAAGCAAAAGAAAGAAAGAGATGGTACATTTCCTTTGAAATCAAAACGTGTCTCGCACGATGGATTTTTATATATTTTTTTATCACGTGGTTAGAAGCGTGCCGAGAGAAAAAGGGAGAAACCGAGGAAAAAGATCTCGCGCGAAGCGAAACATTCCTTGTTTCGCTGGATGATTTTAGAGGTTTTTTACGCGACCGAATGTTACGAGTCAATAATCGTAGTCAATTTAGGAGTAGATATATCGTAGGTACGACGGCTGTAATGTTTGTACATGTTAAGTACCGTGAAACCTCCGAGTAGATCACGTTTCCCCTCCGTTTCAGAGACGATTCTCTCTCAGCTAGAAATATCTTCTTTTCTCCTCAAATTTTCTTCAAATTCATTCTCATCTATATTATTCAAGTTCTCCAGTCTTCATTTTCCTCTCCAAACACTCTCGATCTTGGAATTTTTCCACGCTCTGTAAAATTTGTCCAACTTCAGTTTTTTTCCTTTCGGTCTAACATCTAAAAATTTTCCTCATTTTGATTTTCTTTCATCTTTTTTTTCTTTCTTTGTGTGCGTTTTCTTCTCACCTAAGAATGTCCCTCCTTTATCTCGCGAGGGAATTAAAATTCCGAACACTGGAACTTCTACCAATTTCGTGCAGAATTCGATCGATCGTTTAATTTACGTGTACTCGAGGTTGTCGCGATTCGCTGCGCACAAAATACTGATGTCCCTAAGGAAGAACCCCGAATAACTTCTTCTTCGGAAGAAGACCCCGGGGGGGAAAGGTCTTCGAGAGACATTACGAAACTGCGTAACTACTCCTGTGAAGTCAATGTCGATTAGCGAAGTATCCCAATAATTGTAATAATTACGAAACTAAGAAAAAACAAAAAAAAAAAACGAGAAAAAAGAAAAAAAAAGAAATGTGAAACTGTCTATGATAAGATTACTCTAAGCAGAAACGGTGTACACGTGGTGTATACACTCGAATAACACTTATAAATAATTCTGTAAACGTATTCCGATATTGAACGATCTGAGGGATAAATGTTAACAAAAATGAAACATCTAAAACGATAAGGGAATTTAGTTTAAGGGAAGTCAGTTTCAAGCGAGGCTCCTGCCTCGTGAGAAGTACGAAAGACGAGTAATTCGTAACTACGTATGAATTTTAAGATTTAGAGAGATTGATCTAGCAAGAAAAATGTTGCCAGAGCATCTATACAATCGTCACTTGAGCTTGAAGGTTGATATACACACGTCGCTGTACAATTATCGAATCGACGGCCGACTGAACCCGGATCGATGAAATCACACGTCAATTCGAAGTTCCAAGAGGACGAGCAAAGCGAGACAGGATTATTTTCACGAAAGTAAATGGCGTAGGAGGAGGAAGATACGATGAATTAGGTTAATACATTAAGCATCTATCCGGGTTTAGTGGATCGAGTGCCAAAGATTCTGCTCTGCGGTCTTTCATCGAAAGGAAGTTTCCGAGATTAGTAAAAATTTACAACAAAACACAATACAGTACAAATAATTCCTAACGCAGAATTTTCAGTTTAATTAACACAGATTTTTAGTGTTTTCTTTTTTTTTTAATTCGAGAAATATACATAGAATTAGTCAATATAGAATTCTATATCAAATCTCGCGCTTTTTCTTCAGTCAAAAAGAATCTCCTGTTGCACGAGAAAGACTTCGTTGTTTCGTTTTCCTTTTGCAAGATCTCGAGAGCAGTGATTGTTAGAAAATTGCCCGCATCCTGTTCCGAAAGAAGACGAGAACTAATTCTCTCTGTCGGAACATGTTGCAAGTGAAAAGAGTTATATTTAAGTATGTACGTGTAACACGTACACCTAATTAGTCGCGTACGCTAACGACGCATTTATACGCTATGTGTCTCACCCCGCGTTTCATTCGAGCAAACCCTCGACGAAACCAACCAACAACGACGACAAGGAACAATCACAGCGAACGATTGATCAAGAGACATTAACTTTTATAACCTGCTTCAAAAATCTTTCATAGCTAACGAGATAAAACGAAAGAAAAAAAAAAAAAAAACGAGGAGAAAAACCGAGGAGAAACGAATAAAACGCGGGGATGTCTAAATGTGATTGCTTGTTGTGCCCGGCACAAATCCTAATCGTACAATCAGTGGTTGATATACTATCTGCATATACACAAACATATATATTAAAAAAATATATATATATATACATTAAAAAAGAAAAAAGAGAAAAAATAAAAAGAAGAAATGGCTAATATTTGCGGGAACGTTTGATTGAATTAATTGTAAAGTAAAATAATTCTAGCCACGAAGAGAAAGAGAGTATCTTTTGACTCGTTCAAGAGATTCTAATTAAATGATAAGCGATGTTTGTATGTTGTATATGTTACGTAGATGTACATACATACTGATGTATACACGTATATTATATAGATACGTATGCACGCATGTACGTATCATATATGTATGCACATACGTATATTTATAATATACACAGATAGATGATATATATATATATACGTTGACTCTAAAACGTAGATAAACGTTCTATACACGTTCTGTGTCGCTGTGATTGGTACATAGACCTTAGGCCAGTGTCGTACCGTTAGATTTCTAATTAACTTATAACGAGGAACCGAGACAGTCATTGCTATCGATCGCTCGAAGCTCGAATCGGCCGATCGTTCTATTTTGTGCCACGCTTCTGCGCACAAATGCCAATTTCTGTTAAAAAAAAAAAAAGAAAAAAAAATCAAATTCTCGAAGAAATGAATTTTTTTTAAATAATTCGACAGGGAATCTCGCACTCGTCTCGAGTAGTTTACTTTGCGACAGATTAATAGCTTTCTACCCTGCTTCATGTGATTGAAGATCGTCGACTCTTTCTTCTGCTTGTTTAATTTGTTAAAGAACTCTGCTTAATGCGAAAAGTTCGTCGATGATCTTTCACCGTCCGCCACTGCTTGGAAAATCAAACTTGTTGGAATTAAATAGAAAACTCGGAGAATCTTTAGAAGCCTTGGTTTATGAAAATTAGAAATTTCGAAAGTAAAGTATTTCAGCTGAACTTGTAAAGTGCATAAAGTGCATGTGATAAGTAAAAAAAAAAAAAGAAAAAAAAAACCTAAAATATTTCTTATAATATAGAGTGGACAAAGCAAATCTCTGTTCAAGTTCCATTTTCCATAGCTTTCATCTCCATTTCTCGGCAGAAGAATTTCAAATTGCATAAATTCGCAGTATGACGACTAACTTTTTAGTTTTTTTTTTTTTTTTTGTATTCTCAAAAAATATCAGCTGATTGTTAGTCAACTTATCGCGCGGTTATTTACGCACGGAAAAATAAAAAAAAAAAAAAACGCAGGAAATTCAAACGCAGTAGATTCGATGCTTGCACTGCCTTTCAAGTGAAAAATGACTGTCTGGCCCTCCGGACCGCGAACGTTACAAGAAGACGGCGAAAGAAAAACAAAAGAACGTATTGCTGTGTGTGTTGGGGTAACTTAAAGTAAAAAGAGATAAAAAAAAAATTAAAAAACTAAAGGAAGAGAAAAGGCAGGAAAAAAAATATCTATGTAAGCGTAATATATAATGTATAATACACGACAGTAGATTACGATGAAGGAAATAAACGTGAAATGAACTCTTGCTGGCCGAGAGTTGTAGCGTGTCGATTAGCAGTATATCTAAAAATATATGAAGATGCATCTACCTGCAGCGAGTATCGCGTTTGAAACAGCGAGAACAAACAAGAAAAGGAGACGGAGAAGAGAGAGAGAGAGAAAGAGAGAGGTAACGAAGAAGAAGAGCAAGGAAATTAAAGGAATTTATGATGTTAAAAGATTCACATGGGCCGCACGATACAGAATTTATTATAATAGGAACGAGCGTGCTCCCTATTCTGTAACATTTGCTTCTCCGAAATTGTTAAAAAATATTCTCACCTCGAACTTTTTCTTGGGACAATTTGCGTTGCAAGGAATATTTTGAGATTAATTCATTAATTTTATGAGTGGATATAATTGAAGATAAAGATAAGATAATCAATAACCAAAAGTTAATGATAAAGATCATTGAAGAAATGTTACATTTTATTTTAAGTCTTTATTTTCGTAATTAAAGGAAGGGGAACTTAAATTAAAAATTTGATTTCTATTATCGCGAAAAGAAACCAAATACTTTATTGTTGAGATTTTTGAGATTAATCACAAAAATAAACACCCTAATTTCACAAAATTCCGAACAGAAGCGAATTGTTGGAATTCTCTTTCGCAGCTACGATGTTAAAACGTAAAATACAACAACTGAAAAAAAAATGCAAATAAATACTGATTTACCTTAATGAATTAATCTGACAATATTACAGAAAATTAGTCTCATTACACTGCAATTCTTCGATTAAAACATTTGCGTTCTCACAGAATTTCATGCGACTAAGAAATAGCGAAGCTTCTTGAAACAACGTAACACAAGGCGAAGTATATTTTTGCAGATTGACTGGCGGGGAAGATTGATTAGTTTCAAAGTACAAAAAAAGCGTAGAATAAACGGCAATAAAACGAGAAACTTCGACGAAACAAATACCAACATATCGCGTAGAAAAAAACTACGGGGGTGAAAAGAGAAATGAGATAACCAAGTATTTCCGATTACATTGAAAGTAAGTTTCAATCTGCAAAAGTAAATTTCGTTCGAAGAAGAATTATGATGCGAGAGACGGATGTGCTTTGAGTTCGTAAGTGCAACGCGGGTCGGTACAAATAATTAAAATTACAAAGAAATATAAAACAGAAAAAAGAATACAAAAAAAAAAAATAATAATAAGAGATAAGAAAAAGATGTATGTGCTGTAAGAGAATACTATTATGCAAGTTATGCAAGCAAAAGCTATATACTATATGATGAATGTTGATATATGATATATTTATGGAAAATTCGTGTTGACAAATAAATTATGTATTAACAGTATATGCAGACTTTTTAAAAATCCTCTATATATAACTTCAATACGTTAGTATATATAACATCTTTTTTTATTATTATTATTTATTTACTTAAAAATAGAAATTATATTAAAGCTTATCTACATAACTCTATATGAGACAATTACTATACAACAGTAATTGAAAAGCTTAAACAAATATGTGTGTCTCGTGTAGAATTTTACTTATGTGCAAACAAAAGCCATATACTATATGATGAATGTTGATATATGATATATTTATGGAAAATTCGTGTTGACAAATAAATTATGTATTAACAGTATATGCAGACTTTTTAAAAATCCTCTATATATAACTTCAATACGTTAGTATATACAACATCTTTTTTTATTATTATTATTTATTTACTTAAAAATAGAAATTATATTAAAGCTTAACTACATAACTCTATATGAGACAATTACTATACAACAGTAATTGAGAAGCTTAAACAAATATGTGTGTCTCGTGTAGAATTTTACTTATGTGCAAACAAAAGCCATATACTATATGATGAATGTTGATATATGATATATTTATGGAAAATTCGTGTTGAGAAATAAATTATGTATTAACAGTATATGCAGACTTTTTAAAAATCCCCTATATATAACTTCAATACGTTAGTATATATAACATCTTTTTTTATTATTATTATTTATTTACTTAAAAATAGAAATTATATTAAAGCTTAACTACATATGAGACAATTACTATACAACAGTAATTAAAAAGTTTAAACAAATATGTGTGTCTCGTGTAGAATTTTACTTATCCCGCTTAAATTAATATCAACTACTCGAAACAGTGGTCCATATTTTTTTATTTCAATTCTCATCGCTAGTAGTGCTGCGGTGCAAAGCCTGCCTGAATCGGTACGACAGGATGTGATACAAAAATGGTAAGGAGGAATCTGAAATCTCCCGAGCGTGCATGGCACACGAATACATTAGATATTATTTCATATTTCTGTCTATGCACGAAATCTCTTAAAATGCAAAATCTACTTATACACTTTGTCCGTAATTCCTTCGGAGCTCGGTGGATAACTCCTCAACAATTCGCCTCTTCAGCTCCAGATGTCGGTCTTAATACAACATTTCACCCTTCCTCGAACTGTCACAACCCCTAATCAATCATCTAAATCATTCGCTTTTAAAAAGCTACAAATTATTTTATTAAAAAAAAAAAAAAAAAAAAAAAAAAAAAGAAACAACAATAAATAATACATTTTCTGCCATCATCGTAACTATGGTTCAACAAGTTTCAAGTCAATCTCCATTCACTCGACTTCCCTAATTCTCCAAGGTCCTACTTTATCCCACAAGCAGATCCCGATTCACGAATCAAGAGAATCAAACTAAAACGTATCAACGTCGCGCCGTGTTCGCGTAATCCAGCAAAAAATGGTCGAAGGGATTGGTGCAGCGTGTCATTCTTCTGAGGAACGATATCACGGTAATCCGACGACAGTGATTACACACCGTTTTGCCTTCCTATCCAACCAATGACACAATGTTACTGGTTCACGGTCGTGGAACGAAGGGTCCCTTTCATCGTACGGCCGCGCAGAGAATCCTTCGGGATAATGCAACGAGACTCCAGAGCGAGCGATGCGCGAGATGGGATTTGTCGCGATTTGAAATTTATCCGCGTGAAATCCGCGCGACGTGCTCCTAAAATAACTAGGCAGAAACGTGCGCTCTTCCGGCTGGATGTTTGCTGCAAATTATTGTTCTCGAAATTTTCGAGTCTGATTCGGAGACCGATTTAACGATAAGTTTCTCTGTCAACTTTTCCGTTCCAAATGTAAATTAAAAACAGAGGTAAAAAGTGAGAAATTATGGGAAGTCTGACGGAGCAATTTGGTCTGAAACTTAATTTAGACTCTTCCCTGCAATATTTCTGTTTTCAGGACTCAGACACAAATTACTTTACTATTCTTTAATTTCTCAGAGAATTAAACTCCGCCCGAAGATTACATATGAAGATCAATCAACAGAACGATTCAGAAATTCAATAAAACCACGCTCTTGAAATTCAAGTAAAAGAATTCAAACACAAATACACAAGGAACTATGAAATGTTTCAACTCGAAAACAATGTGTACAGTATACCCATTTCGAACACGTATCAAAAGCTTAAGCACAAACGAAGAATTTACACTACCAGAGAATGTTTTCAAAGAACATATAAAGTAGGAGAGCTTCAAACGGTTCCCTGAACGGCTCCCTCTTTCGAATTAAAATCAAAAACTTAATCGCCGAGAAGATTTATATGAACTTGAAGAGAACGTTCGACGAGAGAACGCGAAAAGAAGAAATCAAACGAGAGCAAACGAGTAGGGAACGGAAGCGGGAGTAGGAGGGGAAAGGAGAATGATTCGTTCGGATTTATTCGCGCGAGCAACCCCTTCGCGGAAGCGAGATCGGTGGTTGATTTAATGCGCAACGGAGGCGCGATGGAAAATGCGCTGAAACCGCGAGAAATAAATGTTCTTAAGGAGCGCGCCAATAAATAACGGTTTATTAACGTACTAATGCCTGGCGCGAAATTAACGGGAGCCGAAGCAACGGGGCCTGGTGGCTTCCAGGGGGAGGAGAGGGTTGGGCGGAACGAGGGAGGCCCCGCGAACTTCGAGTCTTAAATGAACGCAGCCGCACGCTGCGGTTCTAATTAAAACAAACATGATTATAAGTTTCAGCTTGAATTTATAATCGCCCGCTCCCGCGACACTTTTCTCTCCCCTCCGCCTACACCTGCTTTCAACCCCTTGGAAAATTTCGACGTGTCTCTCTCTTCTAACGAGATCCCAACGACGACGAATAACTACGTTCGCAGGACTTTTGGTTCCGTCGATCTTTGGACAGAGTTTAATCATTATCTGACTCTGGCACGTAGTTGGAAGTTAGACACGTGTAGCTACGACACATCTTTTATTTCATTTGGGACTTGTACGAACTGTACTTATTGAAATTAGAAATGAGATTCTACCCGTTGAATCTACTTATCTGATTGTGAATTCTTTTGCGAATGAGTTTTGCAGAAAATGAAGAGAGATAAGTGACAAAATTACATTTCGTGTTATTTATATAGTAGATCTATTAGAAATAGAAAGGTAGAAATTTAGAAATCAATTGATACCAGCGGGATATCGTTCGCCATAAAGTGAATATATTTTATACATTTGTCGTCGAATCAAACTTCGTTAAACCAATGAAACATACAAAATCTGAAAAAATAATCCAACAAAGTATTTTAAATTGTCTGAACTGTACGAATCAAAGAACAAAGATTTGGAAATATCATTGTATCGGATTTGAAGATACTGGCAACGGAATTTATGAGAAATATTGATAATTATTTAATCTTAGTTATTTCCTAATGACAAACAACGAGGGAGGAAGATTGCCTGAATTTAACGAGAATTTTTCGAGGATTTTTAAAATCAATGGATGATTCTTCGTTAGAGCGTCGGCCGTTTAAAACGATACG